TGTTATATGGAAAACCGTACGATATTCCCACTGGTGTATGTGGTAGTCGCAGCAGCGAAAGAAGCGACTTGATTCTAGCTATGTCTCGACAATTGTGTCTTTTTTTATTTCTCTACTGCGATAACTTTCTCTCGTAGGGCTATAGCTGTATTATTGGAGTTTTACCCTAGTGATACGAAAAACACTAGTGCAAAACATATTCCACGACCACGGCATACCGCGAATATCGCGTTTTTCACCGAGATTTACACCACTCCACGTAAAACGGGTCGTGAAACTCCTATTATTACAGGGCCGTGGGAATCACAAAAGGAGACAGTTCGGTGGGCCCATTTATAGATTATGAATTAGAAGTATTAACCGGAGCCACTCGATCACGTAACTGCTCCCTGGAGTTTCACCCTAGTGATATGAAAAACACTAGTGGAAAGCATATTTCACAATTCACTTGACGGAGAACAAATGTGTTATCGGTCGCGGAAACATATACGTCTTAAATTTACGTGGAGTATTACGCAACTTCACGTTAAACGGGCCGTGAAACTCCGTTATATATTATTACATTCCATCCTTCATTTCGAATTGCATGTGAGGTACGAGTGTTCGTTGGGAACCTACAATGCTGGTCCGCCCGAATATTGGAAAAATAGACGAGACGCTATGCGGTACTCAGCAAGGGATGTACCGCAGGAGGTATCAGAGCTACTCCACTATGAAAATTCTGTGAGTGTTGATGCGGTCCTCTATGGAGTGTAAAATCTGCTAGGTAGTGTCCGTTGAAGAGAAAGAGAATGCAGGTGAGAGTGAAAATTGTTGAGTGTTTCTCACGTGATTAAAATCGTGTCTGTTGATGTAGAAATATCAGCGGATGACCTCGCATTACAATTGGCGACTTGCATGCCTTGTCCGAATGTTTCCAACAGCTATAGGAAAGATATGCGGGGAGCTATGAGTGTAGCAAATTAGTATATTTTGGGGTCTTGGAACTTGGCCTGGATTTCAGCTTGGTGACTGTGAACGATGGAAATGCCAAGATGATGACCTTGGCATTTCTCGTGCGCTTCCAGGAGTTCCCAACTGTGAAGTGGCGTGTGAAAATTTCCGACAAAGCACGGCGATGACTGGGTGCGTTGGGCTCGCGAGGTGAAGTGAAGAGCATCGTTCAGGTCCGTGGAGAATCCTAAAGTGGAGGAAATTTATTGTCCAGTTTCTTGTAAGTGGCAGGAAATACCTCGTCTATTTGAGATGCATCTATTTTATCTATATTAATGATATACCGTAAATTGGTAAAATTACGATAATGATATGATTCTTCTTCTGGAGCGACACCCCTTGGATCAGGCGTAGTTGCTAGTATTAGGGTGAATCAGAAGAACCTTTCGCTTTAGTGACGGTGAAGGAGATGATCTTCCCTCAGTGTATGCGTGATGACTGTGTACCTCACGCTTCCTTTGGCCATATCTTGCGTAGGTGTTTTAGCCCCGCACGAATGATATGATAAGTATACAGTTAGCCATATTGATAGACAATACCATAATCGATTATTACATATAATTATAATATGATGTGAGTAATATGAACTTGGCAGAGGTTCCCATAGGTGGTTATAGTAATGCCTTCGATTTTATTTATTATATACCGTAAATTGGTGTAATTATTAAGCAGTTAGCCACATAGATACATAATACCATAATGATTCAATACATTATTAATGGATATACAACTATAACATAATACGAATTCGGCAAAGGTTCTCTTAGGTGGTTATTGCGCCAAGGGTCCGTCAGAACCCACATGCCTGGAATCAATTCGTGGATCGGCGTTCTCGTCGAAGTTGGATCGGGGACTATCCCTTTGTTCGACTTTGTTGTTAATTCTGGTGAACATGTAGAATGATTCATGATGATGATTTCTGTGTTAATGGTGGTGATGTGTTGAAGTCTCGGCAATGTGTGAAGTTATCCAACAGAAAAATTATCTGTGATTTGCATCGCTCCGCCTTCTTCGGGAAGCTGATATGCACACAGCGGGTGAGTTGCAAAATCATTACCTGCAGTGTAGGAAAATATGCACATGGCCAACTAATTGTGCTGGAAATGGTGAGGAAATTTTGGCAAAAATGTCGACGGTTTTTGTCCAGACCTTCTACCCGAATTCTCATGTTAAGCTTTATAATTAGTAAGGAAATTCCTCAGCTCAGTTGAGGAAACCAAAACATATACTCCCACACTGATCGCTTGGGTTTACATTGCAGAAATCCGATACCACTAAATAGTTGAATCTCGGGAGAATGGTTCATTGAAGCATCATATTAAAAGCTTGCTTATAGCGGATAGGATATTGCAAGGCTTGTGTGTTCACTTTGTGTATTGAATAATTTCATCTACCTCTTGTAGTTACCACAGTGATCATTGGTTAGTGATACATTGACAGTGTTTGCTGCAGCTTTGAGGAAATAGGCAGAAATGGAGTCGAGCTCTTATTAGAGAGTTGATGCATGCAGTGATGATCTCACGATGTATTCTGAGACGAAAACAGTGACCTGTGTTCGTGAAGCCTCTGGGAAAGGTTTTCCTCAATAATAAGGACGTTTGTTCACTCGTACTATAATAAAATGCCGAATAATAGGTCGGCGAGAAATATTTCTCCAGGCAACAAAGTTTCCACTTCCGTGTTGAACATAGAATGCATGAGAATTACTATGATAATCGACGTACTAGACACTTTTTATAATAAAAATCGAACAATGCGGCGTTCCACTTACTGTCCGAATAATCTAGTTCAGTCAATTCTCTCTTAGTTTAACTCCAAATTCTCGAGTACTTTGAATGAATGCTTTACAGTGTCCCTGTTCTTGACAATAGACGGATAGAAATTACCCAAGACACACCGACATCTCCCAATTGACACCACTCAAAACGCAATGAAAAGAGTCTCCGAGATGACCTCCAGCCACCAAAGTCGTCGTTAGTAAGCAATGGGAAGTGCTCTGGCGACAATGGTACAAGCATTTAAGCGGTAAGGACGCAAACACCACCAACGGCCTGAATCTTCTCCTCGGCCTTCTTAGAGAAGTAACGAGCCTTGACGATAACGGGCTGCTTGGGGAGGTTACCCTTGCCGAGGACCTTGAAGTAGCCGGCCTTGGTACAGTCGATTACCGGAGCCTTGTCCTTCTTGTCGGCGTATTGGAGACGAGTCTGCTCAGAAACGAGGGACCACAACTTCTCAACGTTCACTTCAGGGCGGTAGAACCTAGAAATGAAAATATAGGAAAACATGTGCACTTTTAGATAGTAGTATTACTTGTTCTTCTGAAGATGGAAGTAACGCATACCAACCTTACCGAAGTAACCAGGATGGTACTTATCGAAGTTGATACGATGGTGATGCTGACCACCGGCATTACCGTGTCCACCAGGATGCTTACGGTGCTTGCCGATACGGCCGTGACCGTGGGACACGTTTCCTCTATGCTTACGGGTCTTCTTAAGGCAGGCAGTCATCTTCTGTCGAGATGCACTTGTCCTTGGAGTTCTCAGGACAAATCGATTAGGCTATACTAAAAACCATTGAGGAATTACAAGATTTGGTCAAGATTGCAAGTCTTCCCTTTCTGACTAGCAAATATGCTGTAAAGTGTCTTGTATGTTTCGAACAGTGTATTGTCTTGACACTGCTGTAGACTGAGTGAAATCGGGGGGAAAAAGATGATCATTTCTCATTTGCGAGTAAGCGCGACACAACGTAAGTGGACAAACGGCGTAGGTAGAGGAAAAACGGAAGACACTGTGAAGGTTCGTTGGACACTCTGGAACCCCTCATGGTGTTGCGTCTTTCATTTCATTAACGTGCAGGTAATGATGGTATCTTTTCTGACCTCGTTTGTATCTAACACGTCCAACCACAAGATACTCCATCGGAGACTTATGTTGGCCATGATGCTTTCAATTCCACATATCTGCTTTTTATGGCATGCTTGAGCTTCGTAAGAGAGTCTTTCAAATGACCAGCAGCCCTTTGGGGTGGTCAGTAGACTACTCTGTGAACCAAACAGTTATACAAACCGATTTTTTTTCGAATTTTGACAGAACCAGGACTAGGACTAGAAACCAGTTGTAAATCGATTCACACTGTCATCAAAAGAAAGCTTATATCAGTTACTGTGAGATTCGCAGTCCATTCAGGATCGTGAAATCTGATTTTACAGATAAACCTGCGTGCTAGACTAAGTTCATACAGCACCACATGTCTCAACGACAGCCTAGGAGGAATGTGAGGTTTGTGGTGTTAATCTGAACTCAAAATGCAGTGCACCAAGTTCGTTGGCTTGCTCGCGACGGTTTTATCGCGTTGCATGTTAGTAGGGAATCGTCGTTAATAATGTGGGTGTAAGGTCGAAGCATGAATGCATCACAAGGCTGTGATCCTTTCGCGAGAGCACATCCTAGTGTTTCGCGATCTTGTTATACATAGGTAGAGACGGCCAGTCTAGGAGCTTCTGGACGCCTCGAGTGGCCTTACATATACGGCTGAGGAGACCAACATGGGGAAATGGACTTGCGTCATCAGCTCCATTGGTGAGAAGTCTCTGTCCCTTTTTTGTGATAGTATAGTTGGGGATATCAGATGATTCGGAGATATTAGTGTCTATTGTTGAGCCATAAGAGGACTCTTTCGGTCGTGTTACGGTGGTGGTGAAAGGTGATGATTCGATGCTTTACCGGTATATCAGCTCGAATATTATTCGTTGTGAGGGGAACTGGGATAAATTTGAACAGTGCTGCAAAATATGTATTCGCTTTCTTCAGCTGAGCTCAATAGTTTCCTCACTTACCACAGGACCTCGTATACTAATCGGCAGACATTCCAAATGTGGACAGAAACTAACAGAAATTCTTCAAAGAGTTTAGATATTGTCACCAACACTTGTGGTTGGTGATGTGCCATTTTATCACACTGAATTTGAATACCACACTTCTGCTCCTTTCCATTCGTTGTGTCACTTCAGTCGTAGCCTGAGTTATCACTGTTGTTCGTAGCTGATATGAGTGTATGTGAATTGAGGCGAGGGAATATATATCTGCGGTCAACTTCGAATATGATGCAGATGTTCCACGGTAGATCGTATCTCTTCGCTATTCAGTCTGTCTGTGCTCAAAGCTCTCACATACACATACTTTCTCCTTAAAGTAAGATGGGCGCATGAGGAGACTCATTCTGCCTGTCGGGCCATTCAGTTGTCACTAAATATCCTCTCATTTGCTGACGTGTT